GACTACAAAACCACCTAAAAATAACTCTTCTATAAAGCTGTCATTGATTTACACCAAAGCATATTGACAATATTACAAATAGTACATCAATATATCTAGTATTATTCATCTGTATCTAATGTTCAATAATTGCCTTCTGCATGTTTTTTTTTCTCCTCACTATCCTTTGTCATCACTGGTAGGAATTATGTCCATACATTAACAACAACGTAGTTTTAGACATATTCTTTTGACATAGCACCTGCTTTATGTATAATGTTAATATTTTGGGTGAATTCTTATCATTCTATACATTTTATTGACAAGTCAACATTTGATTTTTAAAAAAATGTATTGATAATCAATAAAAAACAAAACAAACAAGAGGGCCATGATGGCCCTAAGTTCGCTCACCTGTATATAGGCCCCCGGAGCAGGGCCAGTTTAAACCCAAGGGCTTTTATTTGAACAAACTTGGTAGACACCCATAAGAAGATGTTTCATGCTAAGCTCTAGCTCATTGGGTTGTTTAAAAGAAGATTTTTTAAGTTTTTACTATACACATATAGTTAAAAATAATGACACCCCTGGGGCGGGGCCAGTTTTGACCCCAGGGCTTTTATTTGAACAAACTTTGTAGACACTTACTAGAAGATGTTTCATGCTTAATATCTAAACTCTAGCTATTCGGGTTTTTTCAAAGAAGATTTTTAAGTTTTTGCTATACACATATATAAGGAAAATCAATGACCCCCTGGGGCGGGCCAATTTTGACCCCAGGGCTTTTATTTGAACAAACTTGGTAGACACTCATTAGAAGATGTTTCATGCTAAATATCGTAGCTCTAGCTCTTTGGGTTCTTTTAAAGAAGATTCTTTAAGTTTTTGCTACATGCTTAATATCTAAACTCTAGCTATTCGGGTTTTTTCAAAGAAGATTTTTAAGTTTTTGCTATACACATATATAAGGAAAATCAATGACCCCCGGGCTTTTATTTGAACAAACTTGGTAGACACTCACTAGAAGATGTTTCATGCTTAGTATCTAAACTCTAGCTATTTGGGTTTTTTCAAAGAAGATTTTTAAGTTTTTGCTATACACATATATAAGGAAAATCAATGACCCCCTGGGGCGGGCCAATTTTGACCCCAGGGCTTTTATTTGAACAAACTTGGTAGACACTCATTAGAAGATGTTTCATGCTAAATATCGTAGCTCTAGCTCTTTGGGTTCTTTTAAAGAAGATTCTTTAAGTTTTTGCTACATGCTTAATATCTAAACTCTAGCTATTCGGGTTTTTTCAAAGAAGATTTTTAAGTTTTTGCTATACACATATATAAGGAAAATCAATGACCCCCGGGGCGGGGCCAATTTTGATCCCAGGGCTTTTATTTGAACAAACTTGGTAGAAAGACACTCACTAAGAAGATTGTTTCATGCTTAGTATCTAAACTCTAGCTATTTGGGTTTTTTTCAAAACGAAGATTTTTTAAGTTTTTGCTATACACATATAAGGAAAATCAATGACCCCCTGGGGCGGCCAATTTTGACCCCAGGGCTTTTATTTGAACAAACTTGGTAGACACTCATTAGAAGATGTTTCATGCTAAATATCGTAGCTCTAGCTCTTTGGGTTCTTTTAAAAAAGATTCTTTAAGTTTTTGCTATATGCATATAGGAAAAATCAATGACCCCCTGGGGCGGGGCCAATTTTGACCCCAGGGCTTTTATTGGAACAAACTTGGTAGACACTCACTAGAAGATGTTTCATGCCAAATATCTAAACTCTAGCTCTTTGGGTTTTTTAAAAGAAGATATTTAAAGTTTTTTCTTTCGGTTGCCATGGCAACCAGAGTTCTGCATGGAATTAAATTCTTTGAACAATTGTTAAAGGTGACCACCAAAGGAACATTCCTGTGAAGTTTGGATGAAATTGGCTTAGTGGTTTATGAGGAGATGTCATTTAAAGTAAAAGTTTACGGATGGACGGACACCGGACGAAAAGCGATCACAAAAGCTCACCCTGTCACTTTGTGACAGGTGAGCTAACAAAAAACTAATAATAAATATTGATTCTGTCTATAACAGCTCTAATTGTCTATAAAGAGAAACAATACCTAAAGTGAGAGAATCCAAATATATAGGTTCCAGGAAATGACTTAGTAATGCCCCTTGCAAACCCACAACATTCCACCTACAAACTTTATCTGTACAAGACATTGTTCGTAACCTTTCACCTCTCTGTATACCATCAAATGTTTGAACTTTGAACCCTGGCTCTACAGGGATTGTGCCCTCACCTACAATAAAAAATTCACAGATGCAACTAGAAATATAGCATAAAGTAACATTGCACCAGATCTGAAGTAAAATGCTGAACTTCTTAGTAAAGTGAATAAGTTTTTCATCTCAAATGAGGTGTACAATGGAATTTTCACCATTGAAATTTATATTTCTTTTTTACATCAATTAGTTCACTGATCAACCAACATATAATAGTTTGTAGATTGGTTTAAACATATTTATTCTGAATAGTACATATAACATATATATAAACAAGAGGGCCATAATGGCCCTGAGTCGCTCACCAGAAACAACTGCTTTTCAGTGTTGGAATGTCAATATATTCTAATATTAACTTTGAGCATAGAATATGTTTAAACAATAATTTGAAGAAATGCCATGACCTGGGGTATTCAAGCTTTAGCTTAAACGGGGCTTATCAAATTAATATGAGCAAACTTGATAAAAGACTACCTAAGAATGCTATAAAGTTTGGTGATCATCTATCAATTATTTCGGTAGGAAAAAAATGTTCGAAGGTTTTTTCTATTTTTAGCTTTAGTGGCCCCTAAAAGGGGCAAATCAAATTAATATAAGCAAACTTGATAAAAGAGTACCCAAGAATGCTACAGACAAAGTTTGGTGATCATCCATCAATTGGTTCTGAAGTAGAAGATGTTTAAAGGTTTTTCTATTTTTAGCTTTAGCGGCCCCTAAAAGGATCTAATCAAATTTATATTGAGCAAACTTAATGAAAGAACTACCCAATAATCTGCTACACACAAAGTTTTGGTGATCATTCCATTCAATTATTCTGTAGCAATAGACGTTTAAATGTATATCTATTTTTAATTTTAGCGGCCCCTAAAAGGGGCCAATCAAATAATATAAGCAAACTTGATAAAAGACTACCCAAACAATGCTTCAAAAAAAGTTTGGTTGATCATCCATCCATTAGTTCTCGTAGAAATAGACATTTTAAAGTTATTTCTATTTTTTAGCTTAAGGGCCCCTTAAAGGGGGCCAATCAAATTCATATGAGCAAACTTGATAAAAGACTACCCAAGAATGCTACAGACAAAGTTTTGGTGATCATCCATCAATTAGTTCTCTAGAAATAGACATTTAAACATATTTCTATTTTTAGCTTTAACGGAACCTAAAGGGGGGGCCAATCAAAATTAATATGAAAAAACTTGATAAAACACTACCCAAGAATGCTACAGACAAAGTTTGGTGATCATCCATCATTAGTTCTGTAGGAGAAATGTTTAAAAGTTTTTCTATTTTTAGCCCTAGAGACCCCTAAAAGGGGCCAATCAAAATAATATGAGCAAACTTGATATATTTCTATTTTTAGATTTTGCGGCCCCTAAAAGGGGCCAATCAAATTAATATATGCAAACTTGATAAAACACTACCCAAGAATGCTACAGACAAAGTTTGGTGATCATCCATTCATTAGTTCTGTAGGAGAAGATTTTTAAAGGTTTTTCTATTTTTAGTCCTAGAGACCCCTTAAAAGGGCCAATCAAAATAATATTATCAAACTTGATAAAAAGACTACCTAAGAATGCTACAGACAAAGTTTGGTGATCATCCATCATTTAGTTCTGTAGAAATAGACATTTAAAGGTTTTTTCTATTTTTAGCTTTAGCGGCCCCTAAAAGGGGGCCAATCAAATTCATATGAGCAAACTTGATGAAAGACTAGCCAAACATGCTACAGACAATGTTTGGTGATCATGCATCTATTAGTTCGGTAGAAGAACATGTTTAAAACTTTTTCTTTTTTTAGCCCTAGAGACCACTAAAAGAGGCCAATCAAATTAATATGAGCAAACTTGATAAAAGACTACCCAAGAATGCTACAGACAAAGTTTGGTGATCATCCATCAATTAGTTCTGTAGAAGAAGATGTTTAAAGGTTTTTCTATTTTTAGCTCTGCTGACCCCTAAAAGGGGCCAATTAGAATGACATGAGCAAATTCAAGTGTGACTGTCACAAGGATGCTACAGACCAAATTTGAAGTAAATCTGCTAAGTAGTTTCAGAGAAGAAGACGATTGTTGGTGCATGACGACGGACGCCGGAGCATCCCCCTTTGATACTAATAGCTCACCCTGAGCCTTCGGCTCTGGTGAGCTAATAATCAACAAATAATTATTTTTACATAATTTACATAATGGAAAAGGATGAGAACGAAAAACAAGTCTTATTGAATTCTTCTCCTTAAGTTTGTAGATTCAATTCAGTAATGAAGGTTAAAGTTTACAAATTGTAAGATGTTTTTTTGAGTTATCTATCATTCAAGAATCAAGACAGTAATGTTAGAAATATCATACCTCCTTCAACTTTAGTTCTCAGTAGTCCCTGTACATTGCTAGAGAATGTAGGTTCATGTGGAGGTCGTATACGGGTATCTAACGGGGCTTTAGCTGACTCAACATCCCTGCAGATATAACAAGAAAATAACAGTAAACACAATAATTTCTCTGTTTTTGTGAAGAGAGACTTATTCATACATTCCGATTGTTATGTCTCTAAAATTTTCTGAAAAGTCGCAGTGGGCCGGTGGGTCTTGAGACAGGGAGAGAGAGAGAGAGTGGGATGTGTTCTCACAATTAATGTATTAACATTAACCATATTAACACAGGGGACATGGGTTCCAGTCCAAATGGTGTTACAACCATGTTTCCGCATTCAACACCAGGAAGTGGACTTGAAAGTCCTAAAAGTCCAATAATTTCATATGACACTTGTACTTAAAAATCCAAGTAGTCGACTCAAGAGAGGTCCAAATAAGTTTAGTTACAAGTTTTCAGAACAATGAAGCTGAAATGTGTTTAGATTAAACAAAACTTACCTTGGTTGAAAAATAAAGCTCCATCACACAAGGGTGCTGTAGAGATGTACAGATGGAAGGATATTTTGGTCTTATTTGTAATTTACCCCTGGGAGATTTCTCCAGCATCGGATGGGGTCTATTAGGGTCAAACTCCATAAGCCGTTTATACAAAACCTGAACAACAAATAAAACCATATCAGTCATCTAGGACAAAGAAGTGTCAATAAATGTAAATAAGCACATTCATCCTAAAACATTTAAAAGTTTTGTGCAAGCAACATAATGGTTCTTACCATTTTTATTCAAAAAGAATATTACAATGGTTTTAATTATACAAAACAAAATCTTGCGTACAAACTGCTGCAACTTTCTCACTTTTGTTTTTCCTTCACTACATATCATGTGCCAGTATGCAATTAAAAACTGACAGACAGACATGGTAGGGTGACAATTACGAAAAAACTAACTATTTATTAAGTGCTATCCGGACCCATTTTTTAAATACAAAATTGTTCACAAATGTTTGTAGTTTCCAAATCTGCTGGCATAAATTGGCATAAATGGTGGCGAACAGAGAAATCTAAGATGGCGTCCAAGATAATAGCCAAAATTATGAAAAGTATCCACTGTTCTCAGAGATTGGATGATCTTGTAAGGTTATTTTTAAACTTTACCATCTAAATTAATTACTGATAGTTATGAGTCTTGGTAGATGGCCTAAAATTATGACCTTGAAGGCCTTTCATACAAGTTGGTGGGTGAAACAAAGCATGAATACAAAACCAACCTTTACATTGGAAAGTTTTCAGGTTCAACAAAGGGTGTTTTACATTATAAATTCATTCTGGTGTTATGATCTTGAACAGTTATGATTCTGATGACTTTTGAGAAGTTTCAAGTGAATATTTTCAATTGTTCTTGTAAAAGAAACTTGCATGCATGTAAAATATAAACAAGGGCATTTCAAAGTTCAAAAGGGTGTAATTCACTAAAATTCCAGGCCAGAGTTATACCTCCTGAAAAGTTACCTACTTTACTTTAATTTTATGATTTAGTTTGGATCCAAAAGACATCTTTGAAGTTTCAATGGATACCTTTAATAGTTAATGAGATATAGCAATACATCTATAACCTTCAACAAATGTGACATTAAGGCTTTTGCCAAGGTGAGATAGCAGCATTTTCATCCAAATTGAATTTGATATATATATAATAAACATTAACAAAGTTAAATTACCTCAAAAATCCACGCCTAGTTATGATCTCAGCATGCGAGTCATTCACTGTGTTACCTTGGAGACTCAATTGTTGACCTGTGATACACCTGTTACCTGTAATATTATAGAATTATATCATAATATAAACATTAATGATTTCTTTAATTATTTTTATTTCACATTAATAAACTTCCAGCATTCTGCAACTTCTGATGTTCAAATTTCAATCCTTATTGCTTTCACTTCCAGAGTTTAGAAAAGCCGTTACAAATACATACTGTACACCATCTAGCCTTGTTTTAATATTCTGAGTCCAAAAGATCCATATCAAATCGGAATCCACATTGTTCTCTATATTGCCTTATTTTTATTTTCCAAGTCCAACTACTCCATATCAAATCCATATTGCACTTGAAGTAATTGTTCTTTAATATCATTCAAAACACTGTTGACTTTGATTTTTTTTAATTTGATGTGAATTTCCAAAAGAATTAGTGGTGTGAAATAAAAGAGTTCATTATAAATTGTTGAGCATCCTACCGAGTACTGATACTTTTAGACTAGTACAAAGCTGTATAACCCTATATTGGACTCGGTGTCTCATCCAATTTAGCTTTATAAGCAACATATGTATCAAATGGAATTCAGTTTGGTACTAAACAATGTATAATTACCTCATATTGTAGCAGTAATAAAACTGATAGGCTTGATTGCTATTTGTATATTGCTATCTAAACAGATTATCTTTTTTCTGACCAGTTATATTTTGAATGTTAATTCATTTTTACATGGTTTATTATGTCAACAATACAGCATCCTGTTGCCTCTAAGATATATATTTTCCTTCAAAGTTTTATGTTTGGGTATATTTCTTTTTGTTTTATTCCAAGAGATCAACTTCAAAAGGTCACCTTGCCATTATCTCTTGAAGAGTTTCCTACATTAACAATTATAGTACCCCCTGCAGGTACTGCATCCTTGACAATTCCGGTGCAATCAGAAAATGTATTTCTTTACACACTGAATGCGACCAAACAAATGTTTCCATCATTAAAGTGAAAGTGGAAGTGCTGCTTTTTTGAATTTGGATAAAAATTGTTTGATATATTTTCATTTCAAATAAATTTCTGTCATTGATAGGAAAATCCAAAGCTGCCCGAGTGTGTTGGAAATACTTTTTTATTTTACCCCATAGCCCCGAGTGTGTTGGAAATACTTTTTTATTTTACCCCATATTTACCAGTTAAACTGATAACTTCATGTTCTGACAAGTGAAGGTCGTCTGCTGAAACTGTAGTGACGTCATTTTCTATAGAAAAAATTCTACTAAAGCCAAAAAGGGCCATCAATTTACATACCACGGTACCATAGTGCTAGCCGTTTAAACTCCCATTCAAAACATGGCTGAATGACCATAGATGTTTCTAATTTAAATCATGGAGTTATTCTATGAATGACATGTGCATTTTAAAGTCAAGATGCGACAGTTAAACACAATTTAATAAAATAGTAAATACAAATTCTTTTATGTGTACAATTTGCTAGAAATAATAAGAACAGTGGTACCATAGGGGACCATCCTACATGGTAATTATTGAAATATTTTTACACAGAGTCAAACCTGTATCATCCAGTTTTTGACATTTTTCCAAACTCCATAGTAAAACCACATGTTGACCATAGTTCAAATACATTTCAGAATTCACAAATTTTAATTAGAGCTGTCATCGTTTGGGACAAAATCGATGTACTGTTGATATTTTTCTGTCAATCAATAATCGATACACATTTAAAAAAATCCATAATTTTGATTTGAATTATCTAAATGTCTATAAATTATTAAAAATGGGTCAAAGACAGAAAAGGCCGGGTTGCATATGTTTACAAAATATCATGAGGCTGTGATGTTACTTAAATTTTCTACCACTGTCTGACCATTGATGTTTAAAATTTAACATAGTTGGTAAACTGGAAAAGAATGAGCATCAGACCTGAAATGGAATCCCACAATATGGGACCACAGTCATGACAATGTTACGAAAATTTCCTATTGTTGACCATTAATGTTGAAAATTTAACTAAGATGGCAAACAGGTAGTGGATAAGAGACAGACCTGAAATCGAATCCCACAGTATGGGACCATGTGTTGATGCTGTACACCAAATATCAAAAGGCTATGATAAGTAGTTGATGAGAAAACTGTTACGAAAATTTCCTACTATTGACCATTAATGTTGAAAATTTAACTAAGTCGGCAAACAGGTAGTAGATGACCGACAGACCTGAAATCGAATCCCACAGTATGGGACCATGTGTTGATGCTGTATACCAAATATCAAAAGGCTGTGATAAGTAGTTGCTGAGAAAACTGTTACGAAAGTTTTTCCCCGCCGGCCGCCCAACATTCACCATACCATAACCTGGGTTTGCACCAGTGCAACCCGGCCAAAAATTCACCCAAAACATATTCAGAATGTTACAGAATGGACACATATCATAGCAGTGATGACACTAGACAGAAAAAAAAATCATGCAAAGGACATTTTTAAACAGGACATAACATATTTGTATGAACAGAACATGTATTTAACTAAAATCATTTAAACAGGTATGAAAGTGAATTATATACAAGAAATTAGGAGTAAATATTGATATATTGGTGTATTGCTGATAGTTGTCATCCGATATCAATGTATCATCAATATGCTTTGCACTGAATCAATGACAGCTCTAATTTTAATACACACCTGTTCCTAGACTGACCAAGACACCAACATCGTCTGCTGATCTTTTCATAACTAGTCCAGCTATAACTTTACGACCAGCAAAAGATTCAGCGGTAATCTGTGATACAAGGGCAGTGAACCCACGGTGAGTGAGCGCAGCAACCGTGTCAAAATGTGTCATATTGGCAGCAGGCACTGGAGGGATAGAGCCCTGAAATATACACATAAATCAAAATTGTTTTTATACAAACTAAATGAGAAAAACTATAAGCATCTTATAGACCGGAATATGTAGCTTGAGTGTAATTGTTTACAGACATAACGAGACTCAGCCTAGTTTCCATTTAACAATTTAAAGTTATGCAAGAGCTAAATATTTTTGTCTATGACAACAGCTTGTCTTTGATTCTTTTTCTTGCATATTGGATATTAATCATATTTCAGAAAGACAATAAACTGTTATTTTCATTTAACAATTTTCTTATAGCTCTGAATGAATTTATTAATTCATTCATAATAGTGAAATGAAGTTGTCCTAAGCACTCAATTCATTCATAAAAGGCACATTTAAAGCAACTTGTTTTACAAAGGGGGTGTAACACAGTATTTTTTGCACCAGTATAAACAGTAGGAAATCTTGTCTGATATGTAAGTCTTGATATGTAAGAAATGTATAGGTTAAAGAAGATCTGTTTTAAAATTAACAAAATTACCAATCATTAATCAAGTGGTTTTAAATAACTAATAAGGACAATATTAGATATATACCAACTGTTCTTGTTTTCAGCCTTCTTGTTTTCAGCCCTTAAACTAATATACTGCTGCATTTGTGTATTACACTTGATCAAATTTTAATATAGTTATTTGTTAAAAGTTCTTTTGTATTTGCATACTGGTCATGCTTTAAACTGGTATAGATCAGGACTGTTGTATTTAACAACTGAAATAATTTCATGAGTTAAGTCTACCTTAATTGCAAGGTATAAACCTCCACTAACAGCAGCTATAAAACTAACAAGGAGTTTGGCCTGACAATTTTATACCATAGGCATCTTGTATTATGTTTGAACTATTTAAAATTGTAATGCAATGGAAGTATTTATTAGGAAGCTTTTATTTAGGATAATAATTTTAACATGCAGTTATTACTGTATTAGATGCTGCATTTTCTGCCTGGAACTGTCCCTCTGCTACCAATTGTCTCATAGCAATATCACACGCTTCTTTTCTCCCATCTTTCTTGTTATGACAGGTGACTGATGGGAACTTACGCTTCCCTACAAATGCTGCCATCTCAAAACTGTCAATGATAAAGACGCAAAGTATAAAATTTACCAAGAGGAATATCTAGAGTAAAATCATATTATTGGAAAATAAAATATGTAAACTGAATAAACTGCTGGCATCTGTTATATTATGCAATGTCAGGAGACCTTTGGGTTTCTTTTTCTGTTGGGTTCTACATCACACCAAAATAATAGAGGATATATGGCGGCTTTCCAGCTTCAGTGGTGGAGGAAGACCTAAAGTGCCTCTCAGTGTATTGTTAAATGCATAAATGGGCACCTCAGTAGAACCTCCAACATTACGTGAGCTAGCTGGTTAGTTTCCATAAATGAAATAATCTGAAGTCCCAAGTGGGATTCAAACGTACAGTGGTGAGGGGCAAGTGGTTTGAAGACATTAACCACTCAGCCATGGGCTCCCATCTTTAGTTTGGGTCTAACCAAGATAGAAACAAGTTCTATCCTATTAGGCAAAGCAAATGAGACTAGGATTAAGGTCAAGCATAAATAAAATTTTAGTCATTTTGACTTTTCTGAGGTCTTTCGTCTTTAGTACCCTTTATTACTTTCCTGGTAACAATGACCTCATAATCTTTTTTT